TAAATCTCTATATGAAAAGATTTACTTCACTCTTATATGATAGTAATATTTTGTATGTAATATTAAAGATTTGAGTGTCTTGCTTGTAAATATTTGACGGATTACTTGAACTCGAAATTAGATTCTAGCTCCCTTGAAGAGTTCTTGTGGTAAAAACTTCTAGTCAATTAGTGGAATTAGCTATTTATTGGATGTCTCAATGCTTAGGCAACTCCCACTTTGATAAATTCCAAGTTATAGGAGGTCTAAATTAGATAAAATCCAATTAAGATAATCACTATATATAAGCATGGTGAGTACCACAAATATCATTTTCATGAGCTAAATGTATGTCACTCTCATTACATATCAGCCATGAAATAAAAGATCGTAATCTTTTCACTTTTTGAAAACTATTCACATTGTTAGATGAAGTCGCCATTAGAAATTTCATTGCATGATGCCATTTTATTTAGCTTTCTTCTCCATAAAGATGACTTATAAATTGACCACATTTAATGCTTGTTCAGGTCTCCTTCATATCTCTACACTTCAAAGCATGAAATTTACGTTGAAGATTTACATATCTACCACTTATGTTAAATGTGTATTTTACTTTTTAAAAGTCAAATCAATGATGTTTTTTTATGTGAAATGAAAATTTTGGTTGGTATAAATATATAAATAAAAAAAAAGTTTAGGTGTCAGCTATAAAAATACATAGGAATTGGGTGGTATGAATGTAAATGCCCCATTTTTTAAATTACTTCACTATTAAACTTCATAGAAATTGTAAACCATTTCTAAAAGAATGATGAATTCAAATATTTTGTTTTCATACTTAGATCAGTTGGTCGGGCATTTATTTATCAGTTGCAATCCCCCTTTGGTATGAGGTTCGATTCCCCCCGGTGGAGGGTGTGGTACTCAAATTGTTAATCGCATTGGGGATGGTTGGGGCTAGTATAATAGCCTAAGCCCATTCTTATATATATAAGATTAGCTTAGTTTCATTGAGGATAAAAAAAAAATGAAGCAATTGTCGATAATAAATAAAAGATAGACAATTAAACTTCAGAATTCAGTCATGCACCTGAATATATAATATTATAAAAAATTGCATAAATACCACAGAATTCTTAAGTATTTATACATCTAGCAAATAAGGTTTAATATTTACAATCATACCATTTTGGTGCCATAAATCTATACATAAAGAGATGTATTTAACTTTTAAAAGATTATTAATCATGATATTTTTGATGCGGTGTTAAGCATTTGTGTTATGAATGTAAATATGAAAGGTTGGGTGTTAGATCTGTAAATACATCAGAGTTGTTCAGTATGTGTAAATGCCACCAAAAATTGATGACTAGTGCGACGAGGACGACTGCACTGGGCCTTGTGGGCTTTAACAAAAGCCTAAATGATGGAATGCTTAAAAACTGGGCCGCTGAGTTTTATACAGTAATTGGGTCGAATTGCAATGGTAAAGTCCATAGATCCAACCTCAATCTCAAGCAGTTGACGTTCTACAAATTTTTGTCTGTAACTTACATTGTGTGATATTTTCTACTTATATAGGTCAGAATCGAGAAAAAAATATTTTAAATATTTTCATGGAATCAAATAGAACATGAATGTGACTATTTTAGATGAATAGATGAAGTAGATGATGAATTATATAATCAAGAGTATGCTAAATGTGCATCAAGTGAGTTCATGGTCAAGAGTATGTTGAAGGAGCATGTTTGTTACTTGAAGTTCTTATTTAAAATATTAATTGTGTTACATTTTACAACAATTATTATGTTATTCTTACTTTGTGCTCATTTAGTTATGATGATTGTATCGTCGTATGTTGAAAGAACACCTTTGTTATTAATAAAGTAAAGATTTTTTAAAGATGTCCAAGTACTTTCAAGCATTAACTTTTAAAAACCGAATTATGTTCGAATTTAATATGTAATATGTGGTTGGTCTATATTTGTTTATATACTTTGAAAACTCTTGGTACCAATTTGAAATGATTTGTAACTTAGTCAATTTTATGTTGTCTTATTTGTCTTCAAAATCCTGAAATAATGAGATAAGAATAATGAATGAGCAACTAGAATTTAAGTTTTTTTTTTTTTTTTTCTGAACAATTTTCTATTAAAATTTTAACTTATAGTATTTATAAAGCATATATTTTCAAAGCAAGCTGACTCATAAGCCAATTTGTTTAATTACGATCAAAATTCAGTTCTAATAGATACAAAGATTTTTCACTCACCTAATAGCTCTTTAAAAAGCCTTCATACATAAACTTTATTTACAATGTAGCACCAAAGAAAAACATCTTTGAAGTCACAAAGGAAAATATGAATATAACAAAGGCTAGCAAAGCTCAACTAAGGGTCTGTTTGGGGAAATTGTTGTTTATTAATAAGCTACTGCACAACACCTGCTCTTGAAATCTACTGCGCAAAAACTGCTGCAGACAAGTTGGTTCGTTGTTTTTTCATGTCTGCCAAACTTTTGAGTCCATGCATAACAATGGATGCTGCTCTTGCATCCAGACCTGATGTTGATTCATTTATGAATATAACAAATGGATTTGCTACTAGCTACATAGCAATTGTCAGTCGCCTCCATTGCTCAGCGGATAAAACACTTTTTTTGGATATTCCAACAATTTCATCATTCATTTTCGTCAACTTAAATTGTTTTAAGGACAATCTCAACAAAATCCAGTGAAATGTGACACTACAAATTTCTTCATCATCTGCTAAAGTTGCGTTCACCTTGTTCTTAGGATGCTCATAACTTTTCAATCCACATAAAGATTTCGAATAAAAGCATCATATGATCTCAACAAATACGAGATGTTAAAAGCAGAGATGTCAAACACGCATAATATAGACCAACATAGAATCAAAACAAAGAAAAAAAAAACCAATAGTTAACACAGCTAAGCAGAAACATATTGAAGAATTTTATCTCTCACCAAATTAATAGTTGTCCCGTCCCCAACACCAACTAACCGAGCTTCTAAGCCTTGATCCAAGTTTAATTCAACACCTCAGCCTTATAAAAGTGCAATAAAAGTGCGATAAAAGAACCCAAAGTCGGATGATCAACTAAAAAATTGCAACTTTGAAATAGGTTTTTTTTTTCTTATTTATTAAATAACTCGGAGAAATGATTCAGAAAGATGAAGATTCTCTTTTAACACATGCCTAAAGATGCAGAGCATGATACCAAGGTTTTTATCTCACCACTTTGATTTAGGAAAACTAAATGATCAAAGGAGCACTCATGCGAAAAAAAAAAGCTCTGCATATGCAGTTTTTGAAGAATGTTAGAATTTAGCATAGGAAAACTACGAACCACATAAAATGACAAGATGGCATAGAAGTCCTATTACACGTCTTCTTCTAATAGCTATCCTCAGGAGTACTCTTCATTAAAGTGTGGCCAATCAATCTTTACCACATATATATTTGATGAAGCATCCAAAGATTTAAAGTCATAATCGTTGCATAAACATGAAGATATCAATCCTTCTTTGCCATCAATAAATTGCCCGGCCTTTGTACACTCCCTTCAGCCATGATACCAGCATAGATTCTTATGTTGTGAAATAATTATATGGAGCTACAATCATTAGTAAGCAACAAGAGATGGAGAGAAGATTTGGACGGAACTAATTTGTACCGTGCAATAAAACAATTATTTTTAGCTGTTGTGTGATGGTAGCCAAAATTTCTACGTTGCCACATGTGTGTGCATGTAAGATATAAGAAATTATATAGAAATAAGTATAATGTTGACGCACATGTGCGCGCATCGTCTAGAAACTCACATGTTGCCCGAATGCAAGCAGACCACGGTTTTAACCTAAACCAGAGTAGGGTTTGACTAAAGTAGTTCGTTGCTATATGTTGGGATAAGGGATGAGGATGTGACATAAGAGTTTCATCATCCTCAACAAACTTGTCAGCACGATTGGATTATTCTAAAAAATTTTATGTATTTTCTATATATTTTATTATATGTCAAAATTTATAAATAAAATAGCTCAAAGTTATGTCCAAAAGTATATTTGTTGGAAAAAAAAAAAGGAAGATTTACATGCATGGCGCTTCATTCTTATGTATTTACATATGTAATAGTATGATTTTAATTTTTACATGTATACATCATGTATCTTATTTATGCTCTTTTATTTTTTAAAATTAAAATACAGATATTTTTTAGGTGATATAAGAGATTTAGATGATATAAATGTAAATGATGAAAATATGGTGTCAAGGGTGTTGCGAGTGTAAGAGCCCCAAAATAAAATGAAGAAATTTAATGAAAAAAACTCCAATAAAAATTGAATTTAAAATAATAAATCAATATTTTCAAAATTTGACCAATGTTACTTCATTTAAAAGGGTTACAAATAGGGTTGTCAAAACGGCTCGTTGTTCGTGAACAGTTCGTGTGGCTTGTTAAGAAACTCGTGTTTGGCTCGTTCGCTAAGTTAACAAGCCGAACACGAACTTATTGACTCGAAATACTACTAATCAATTATATATATAGATATCTTTGATGAGTAATCTTTTTTAAAAATTTAATTGACAAGGGTATAAAGATTTATAATCAATTAAAAGTATTAATGAAGAAAATAGAATAAAAATTATTAAATTAAATTCAAATGATATTTTAAATCTTGTCTCAATCCTAAACATCTGATGACTACGTGATTAGGGTTGTCAAAATGACTCTTTGTTCGTGAACAGTTCGTGTTCGGCTTGCTAAACAAACGAACCGAACACAAACACACTTTTTGAGCTCGAAATATAAACGAGCCGCGTTTACACTCCTAGCTAGAAATGAGTCCAGAGCTCGGTTTGGCAATTGTTTCGCTACATAAATTATGTTCAAAATTGTGTTGTGTTTGAAATTTTTTTTGTGAACAGTGTGTTCGTATTGGACTTGATTTACATATTTTTGTTTGTGTTTGGCTCTAAATTATCTCATTTAAATTAATTAGAAAAATAGATGATGATTTTGAATTCATCATTTCTATGCAATAAAAGACATAAAATCAAAGGACCAACAAGGCCAGAACCAGGTAGGGTCCAAGTGTCCTAGTGGAGCAATTGCGCTTCTCATATTTCAGGACAATTTGAACTTCCACCTCTTCTAAAATACCAGTTTTGATCCTCAAGTTCAATTTCTTATTCTTGTTCTGATCAATTAATTAACAAACTATTCGAAAAGAAGCTCCTTAACGAATCACACACGAAAAATGAACGTTTTTTTTACAGCCCCACTCAAACACGCCAACGATGACCTCTGAAATCATTTACATTCAAACATGCGCGCGTCAAAAAAGTTCCCATCGCAGAAATTTCTCCCTTATTTATGTACCTAACAATTAAATACAGTGTGTTACAGCTTTACTCAACAACTCCCAATCGATTATCATCATTAATTTCCCTCTATAAAAAAGCCCTCCCATCCAGTCAACCAATCCGAATCCAAAGTAGCAGAGAAAGAGAGAAAGAAATGGAAGGGCTGATTCCATTTGTGATCCACGCACTCAAGAAGAATCGGAATCAGAGGACTTACCGGTGCTTATCAGATGGATCTAACGCCGGCGGAAGTAGCAGGAAGGCGATGATGGATTGGACGGCGCAGGATGGGTCGTCGCATCACCGGAGGACTAGATCGGAGTTCCCGACGGCTGCTACGGCGGATCCGGGATTATTTTCCGGTGATTCTCGTCTGGCTCCGTCGCGGAGCCTTAAGGCCGGAGAGGAAAGTTTCTTCAGCCCAATCAGCCGTGTCGCAGAGCTGACTGCTCGACGAGGATGAAACCATAAAGTTACCGCGCGTGAAGATTTTTTTTTTTTTTTTTTTTTTTGATCTATTTTATTAAATTGTTATATGGTTTTTTTTTTATTTTTGGAAAAAAAATATTTGTATATCGTGAAAATATTTTGCTACGTGATCTCGTTTATGCTGTGCAGTGTGGATGTATTAATCTATGAAAAAAAATGTCCGGAAATAAATCATAATTGAACGTTAATCACTAAATTTACTCTAATTTTATTGCAAGATAAATATTTTAATGTAATATTAGTTTTAGAATAAACTTAACAAATTTGTTATTGCTGCTTTTGAATTTGTTATTCCCCAACGTCACTATGTTTTGCGCACGAGTTTGTAAAGAAGTCCATGTATCAAACATTGAAGAGATTAACTTCTTGATTGAATTGAAGAACTTCACTAAGATGAGGAGGCGTTGAGGAAGTGTTTTTTGCGATGAAGATTACCCTCTAGTCTATAATACCTTTTGGAAGACTTAATGTCTGAATGAGACACAATGTGAAAGATCTTTCGAGATTGGAGTAAAAATTGCCCCCATATCAAAGAATACAAATAAATAATCTATAAATGGTAAAAAAGAGAATCATTCACGATGTATATCATTGAAAAATGAAGTATGAGTTGGCATCTCAGACTTGAAGATAGTATCGAACAAGACTTCACTTCCCACTGACGACTCCAAACTAATGTGTGTTGAAAGATTCATAATGGTGGAGTAATAATTTAGTGTATTAACATTAAAGACAAATCTATCACGCGCTCAGGTAATTAAAGTGATAGATGGAGACATGCCAGAAGTTTTTTCTTGGAGAACCCCGAAAAAGAAAAAAAAAATCGCGAAGCTTTGCCCAGTTCAAATAATCCACTATGTCATTTTGAGTACATAAATCGATTCTTCTCTTTAAGTTAGGGAAGATAGTGTCACAAAGTTGATGTACAACTATATTTTAGCAATAAAGGTTGTAATGTATCCTGAAAGTTGTAGTCAATTATGATGGAGGCAGTAGTCCATCGTAAATATTTTGGACGGTGGTTGTAGCATCAGTTTATCGTATATGATGTAGTTGAAACCCATGATAGAAGTTGGTCATGTTGGTCGTAGATGGCTGCTTCAGTTGTCTTGGTTAGGGGTGTAAACGAACCGAACACGAACGAACAAAGCTTGTGTTCGTGTTCGGTTCGTTTAAAATTTAGTTTGTTTGAAATAAGCTCGTGTTCGTTTCTTAACGAACGAGCCGAACACGAGCTGTTCGCGAACTACAAGCCAGTTTGACATCCCTAATATTAATATATAAAATAATATTATATATTAATTATATAACTTATATTATATAAATATACTATATCTATATTAGTATATTACTACTATAGTATATTAATATATTATTATTTTTTATATATAATTATTTTATATTATTTTATATTTCAAACAATAACGATTCGAACACGAACGAACGCATCACTGTTCGTGTTTGGTTCGTTTAACTAACCGAACGAAAAAAATTTGTTCGCGTTTGTCTCGTTTACTTATCGAACGAATCGAACACGAACTCATTGACGAACCGAACACGAACTGTTCGCGAACAACGAGCTTTTTTGACAGCCCTAGTCTTGGTTGGCCACAGAGGCTATAATAGAGACTGTTGAAGCTGTGAGCCACGTAGGTCATAATTAGTCTCTTAAGTCATGGTATGGGATGTAATAATATATGTAGGCCACATAGGTTGGATTAGGAGCAACATGAACCATGGACCATGCATGTCGTAGTTAGACACATAGTCCGTAGTGCTGAATTGCGATAACGTTCATAGGTCAGAAAGGCTAGAGTTGGGAGCTACGATGAGTTGCAGACCACATATGTCGTAGTGGTTAGCTGCAATAATGTTTGCAGGCTGAGGAGGTAGGATTTGGGAGCCACATGAGTTATGATAACGTTTGTAAGCCTATGAGACTAGACTTATGAGTTATATGAGTTGTGAATTTGTTCGGAGGCCGCAGAGGCCAAAATTGGGAGCTGCATTAGTTGTGATAACATTCATATACCGAGGAGGTCGTTGTTGGGAGCTGCATGAATTGTGATAATATTCGTAGGTCATAAATGTCAGAGTTGGGGGGATGCATGAGCTATGACCACACATAACATAGTTGGTCACCAAAGTCATAGTGGTGGATCGCAAGGAGAGAGCTTCATTGGTCCGGAGAAAGTCACATTATCATGAATGTGATGATTGTATGTATTTATTGTGGGATGCACTGTTGCATCATCTTCTGGGTTTGTTATTGCACCGTAAACGGGGTACATCGCTGCTCCATCTTTGTGTTACTGTTACACGATCTTCAAGGTACATTATTATAATACAATCTTTAAGATGGGTTGTTACACTATCTTCAGGATGTGCTGCTTTGTATCATTTTTTGTTACTCTACATAGCTGGTCATTACTGTACATGATGCTCCGTCACTTTGTGTCGCATGTCATAACTTCGTAATGGGCTTTGTTGTAACAAACAAGGGGTGGACGATGATGGTCCACTGCAGTCGACGAGAGGTGGTCGAATGTGGTCAATGGTTGGAGGAACGAGTGGCATTTGTTGGATCTTCGATCTAAAACATTGAACATCAGTTCCTTCTCTTCCAAGCTCTGGGCTTCCTCTGGTTCAACTTCTCGGTCCTTTTCATGAAGAGAGGTAGGGCTTATTTATGCAATCTAAGAGAAGCCTCCCAACAAACAAGAAAAGAATCTGAACCACTCCATCAAACGATCTAGAGAGATCCTCTCCATTGGATGACATTCTGTAAACATTTGAGTATTTTAGCAATGTTGGAATTGGGTGATATTGGGCTCGTTGGATTTGTCTTGCATGAACGCTCAATCTGAATATAAAATTGCCAAATTTGAAATATGTCTTATCTTCTAATTAAGAACGAAAAGATTTCAAAAGTAATTTAACGGCTTGATTTGGGTATGATTTGACCAGATTGAACCATTTTGTTGTTATTGGGTCAGTTTCGTCGAGCCGGTTAGTTAGATTATAAGTTTGTTGAATCAAACTTCTAAATGATTTCCAATTGAAGCTTGGATGTTCATTTCTCAAAAATTATTCCGATATCTGTGTCATATCTCGAGATCCGTGTCAAGCGATGAAAATTTATTGATGGCAATTCATCAATATTTTTTTATTGGAAGAAAAAATAAAGTTGTAGAGAATTTATTTGGTTTATGATCAGAAAGGGATGAGTGTGTTGACGTCAATACTATATAGTTCTATGCTGCAAATTTTTTTAAAATATTAAACATAATTATGGATTATAATTTTGAAATCTAAAAGTAATGAGAAGCGATGCATTATTACAAACTTCATTCAAGCATACACGACTCTTGATGAAAATTCTCAAAGTAAATACAAGACCAGATGAATTAATTTTACATCAAATTGAATATCTCAATGACACGTCTAACGACAATAACAGTGATTATATTAGAGTTTAAATAACTCTGAATCAAGCAATTAAAGTATGATCAATTTTTTTACAATTAGTTAAAAGGATGAAATGTTGAAAGTGTTAGGTATGACTCGTATAACATAAATGGGACAGATGTTGGAGCGGAGCGGGGCCCACGAGCGAAGTGTAGCGGAAGGATCTGTCCAATCGGGAGAGTTTCATTATGTGGATTGGGGGTGCGAGGACAACACCCCGCCATTTGGTACATGAGTAATTTAAGTAATTACATATTGTAATATAGGGTTATATATATGTCTTGTCTGTATGTCTGTAACCCTAATGTCTTGTCTGTAACCCTAGGTGAGTTGAATCTCATATTCTGTATCATGTACACATTTTTAGAATTAGTGGAAAGGTGCCGCTCTGCTCCGTAAGCATCTTTGCCGAACCTCGTTAAATCTTTGTGTTCTTCTAGATTTGTGTCGATTCCAGTTTTTTTTTTTCACCTAATTTCTCAACATAAAGATTATGAATTCTACATACTTATAGTCAAATTGAGACTTAAGAAGAAAAATCAAACTTATAGTCAAATTGAGACTTAAGAAGAAAAATCAAACGAACCTAAAAAAAAATTGAATAAATAATTCATTGGTCTTTTGATAGAGTACTTTGAGATATTGACAAAATTAACCAAAAGACAATTTTAAAAATTATAGATAAAATATCATTATTCACATATGGATGAACTGACTTAGAATTGGATAAATCTAAAAGATCTAAAGAATTTTAGAGCTCTACCAAACCACCAATGTCAATTGTTGTCTAATCATCATAACCTAATTGCCTGCATCCAATCATTATCACATGATTGTTGTTATCTGATCATTATCGCTCAATTATCACTATCTAAATTGTCATTTCTTAATTATCGTAACTGAACGGTCATCATCCAACAAGCCATCATTACTCGATTGTCATTCTTACCTTCTACTACTTCCATCAGTTGATCTTGTCTCATCGAGACAATATCTAAATCATTTCCATTCAAAGAGAAAGTTGGACTTTGTAACCTCGACCCATATAAGATATTATTTTGTCTAAGCTAGGCCCTTGATTTATTTGCTTCTACATATTTGACATAAAAGGCTTAATTTCAGTCTCTCTTGCCCTTTACATTTGTCTACTTTTGTGCTATATTTTCTGCAAAATTAAGAAATAAAATTCTTATTTTACTGTCCTAAATTTTCTAGGATATATAATCTATATATAAATATTCTAGAATTCATTTTTTCCCCAACCTCAGACCTGCCAATCCAAAAACAAGACAATTTTGTCGTCATAGCTCATCCCTAAAAGGCTAAAATCAAAATGTTGAAGTGATAAATTTTGTAATATTGGGGTAGTTGTAATCCAATATGTAAAACAATCAATTTGGTGTTCCTATTTATATCTCATTCTTACTTAGAAAACAGGCGTGCATGACATATCAATCAAATTGCAACATTTAATGAACAGCTTATTATTGAATTCTTTTAGGACGTTGAATTTTATCTTTTGTGAATTCACACAACAAGAGAGGGACTTATGTAAAGAAGGTGAAAGAAGATGATGAATGTGTTCTTCAGGTCTGAATTATGTGTTTGAATCACTCTCCGACTGAACAGTGAAGGTAATCTAATGAGAGGAGGCGGAAAGAGAGATCTCATGTGAATCTTTGTGTGAGACCCACCCAAAAAAGTAGAGAGAGCCGAATCCTTCTATAGCAACTCTTCTCCTTTTTACATATGTTTAAGAAAATATTAAAATAGAATGCATGCTGTACGAAAATTGACTTCGTTGTCTCATTGAAAAGATTGTGATGTGTGTGTTAAACGATTCATAAATGATGATGTGACATATTTCAATTTTGGATGTCGATCTCGACATTTGTGTTCTTATAATTCCGAGCATTCGCCAATGAAGCAAGTCAGGCTAGCATGATTGGTTAATTCATCATATGGAACGAGCATAACAATTAAGCGAGCCAGTTCACCAAGTCAGTTTCGCAAGTTAGCTCGATAGCTGGAGCAGGGCAGTTTCGGCATAGATGGGCACTCCAGGCACGTGAAACCTGTTGGGTATGTGCTTTAACCAAGGATAGTCCATTTTTAGTGTACACTTTTAATTTAAAAAAAAAAAAAACAATTATATTCATAGCATAGCATGCAACTCTTATGTATTTATATATCGGACACCTAAACTTTCATATTTATATACATAACACTCAAATTTTTAATATCATATAAAAAATGACATAAGAATTGCACGCTATATATCTAAATTTCTTTGAAAAAAGTCAGTTAGATATGTCCCCAATCCTCTTGATCGAGTATCACTCTCAATGCACTTGATTGAAAGCTTCAAAAATTAAATTAAGAGTTACATACACTCGAATTTTAATTAAATGAAATATCTGAAACAAACTAAATAATATCAGAAGTGTTCTAATATGAGTTCAAGTAAGCATAGAGCATGCTTTTAAAAAACAAATAAAAAATTTAGAGCTTATTTTGGAAGGCCAAATGATCTATAAATATTGCAAGTTTTTTGTCAAATTCAGTGTTTTGATGAGACAGATCTAACGACTTCAAGATCATTTGATTTCGACATCATTATGACACTCAAATACTTATAAATAAAACATCATATGATCAAGCAAATCACTCTATATTCTCGGAGGGACTAGATGAGATTCTAGCAATATTTACGATGGATGTCACTCTTAAAATTTATAAATAAACTTCCACTACTTTTTTCATAAGGGGAGACCTAGACCCAGATGAAAAAACTAAGGAGAGCTCGCAGCTCTTGAAGACTCTCAAGCACCACCAATGTCAGATCATCTTCATTGACTGATCATTATCATTATACCATCATTGTTGTCTAATTATCACCACGCCACCATCATTACTATTATCGAATCACTATTCCCTATCAAGCCTCAGTCACCAAACCGTCATCATTGGATCATCGTCGCCTGGTCGCCATTGCAATCATACCACTGTCGCCGGGTCAATGTCGTCGTTGCCGCTACATCCAACCACTATCTTCGACCTGCCACCGCCAAATCATTCTCACTTGGTTGCCACCTTTGTTGCCACTGTCACACCACCGTCATTTGGTCGCCGCCTTTGCTGCCACAGAACACCAACGCTCGGCAGATGCCATCGGGCCACCCTTGCTTGAATGGCATCATCTCTATCGTTGGACCACAACTGTCTAACCGCCAACACAACCGATAAGATTAACATCATATCTCAATCATACACCCCACAATCAGTCTTCCTCAACGCAATGGAGCCATTGCCATCTCTCTAATAATTTATGTCTCTTCTTTAATAAAAGTCAACTCGATAACTCTCTCTTATAATATTATTTTATGTTGTTGAAGGGAAAGTATTGTCTTGTAACTTATTTTTGCACTGTAAAACTATTTGAATTAGGCTGAGATTCGTTGTTTTTCCCCCTTCAAGTTTTCCACATAAGAAGCCATAATATCTCCGATGTCGAATCATCTTTTATTTGTATTTGTGTTGGATCCTTATACAATACTAAGTTGTTAATATATCACTCTTTTGCTTTAATTTTTGTGCACAAAAGGCATCGTCTTATGCAAGTTATTAACATTTTTGTTAGCCTTTTTTTTTCTTTTTTTTAATCTGAGCTAAACAAATTCTTAGGAATTATTTCAATTCTGAGGCATTACCTTGTTGGAAATTCTTAAATCCAAGATATAGTAAATCAAGTTGGAAGACAGATTTAGTGTAAGCACGCGAAGATGGGTGGGAGAAAAGGGAAGAGGAAAAAGTGTTCCTTTCTTAATGGCTTTGGCTAAGAGAAGGAGAAGAAAGATGAGAGTTTCAGAGGTCTTTGTGCGTCACCATCCCATTGTTGCCTTTCTCTCTAACTCGAACTAAGATTTAGGTGAAATCAAAAGAGAGGCGAGCGTTATGTGTTTAATTTAGTTTTATTTAGGGGCATTTGTATAAATATCATCTAATTCTCATGTATTTTGATGTCAAAAATTTAAGTCTTACTTTTATATTTATATGACCCAAATCTTATCATACTAATATATCACTATTTTAATTTCTGAAAGTGAAATGCATCTTTATCACACAAATAAAAAGAAATACATATGTAAAAGTTAAAGCTTAGCTGTCAGATATGTAAATGCATGAGAATTGGATAGTATATGTAAATCTTCTTTTTATTTAAGTTAATTTTCATAAATTTAATTAAAAAAAATTAATTCTATGTTAACACGTGCGTTTGTTCGTCTTAACCGCACCCGTTTTGAGGAAAAAATATTGCATACGGACACTGCATGCAGAGATGCATGTGGCGTCCGATCCTGACCGTAAGATGTATTTCGGTGGGCCCCACTTTAATTTTTTTTTTCTTAAAAAAATTAATTGCATCATAACCGTTGCAATAATTTTTCCACATTGAGAATCTTATAACTCGGCCACTAGTTTTAACATCTCATAACACCCCAAACTTGCTATTTACAACTCAGCCATCCTCTTTCATCTATTTTCAAATTCTCACTCAACTACCAAATAACCCCCACCCATTTATTTTATTTTTATCAATTCCTCAATAGTTTGATTGTGGCATGCCTAAATACATCGATCCCACAGTTCAAAAGAATTACCTGCATTGTTATTTTGTAAATATTAATGATTCAGATGGTATCTGTGTAATTATTATTAATATTTAACACTTTATATAAATATAGAAAATGAGCAAAAATTATGTGCTCATTCATCGCATTTAAAGACTTCCATTCTTAAATTTCCATACAACTCTCGGAACATTCGCAAGATCAAAAGTTGAATAGCTTTCTTCTCCCTAAAACTTCATTAAAGAAGAATTAAGAGACGATCGATAGAAGATCATGAGCAAAAGATATAATTGTTGAAACTATTTATGAAGTAGCTGAGGAGGAAGAAGAAGATATGGGAGATAGCTTCTCCAATTCTCTTTCTTCACTGAGCTTATCTCCATCTACTCTTTCGTCTCCAAATCTATCTTCTTCACCATCCACACCAACTCCTTCAACTCCCTTAGAAGCCATTGTAGATAACTGGTATGTATATAAATGAAGGAAATAGGTATTTGGCGTAGACCCAAATATCGATTTCCCATGCACTCAGGGCCTATGATAAGAACCGTGCGCCATTTGCCTATAATTCGACCCCTCGCACACCGCGGGTAGGATCGAACCCTTGCCAAAGGGGACTTACTGTGACCCAGCCTACCAACTTGTTCTCCTCTTTTTTTTTTTTCATAATGATGAAATATATGACTAGGTTTATTGGGAAAAAGTTTGTTATTACAATTCGTGTTCGTGGACATCCCTTTCATCTTCATGGGGTATGTAAGAATTTTTTTTTTTTTGCTGGTTATTGATTGAAATAAATTGCTATTGCGGACGAAAAAAGAGTTTTCTTAGGTTTTTTTTTCTTTTTTATTCTTTATTAGACAAATATAATAAGTTTCATAAAAAGCATTTAAATTCCCATTGTTTATGTATCCCTCTTCTCCCCATTTCTTATATATATATAAAATTTCAATTGACAAGGAATGGTACCTTGTAAGAATCCAATAAAATCATTTGGAGTAAATGTTTTTTTTTTTTTTTGTATTTGAGCTTTCCAAATAGGAGATTTATTGGCTGAGAGTGGGTTTGAGTGAGAAGATGTAGATTATGCAAGAGAAATTTCAATGTCGATGGTATTATAGTGGTTTGTGATGGATCTGAGACTGGATGATCCTGGGTTTCAGATTGAGAGATGGTAGACATTGTGGATGTCGGGAAAATATAGCCTGGAGTATAGGGTTTTAGATTTGGGGTTCGATGGAGCTGGGTAAGGAGATGGAGTATGCAGCTTCGGGTATGGAAAATGTGGGCAGAAGGGAGAGGAAAAAGCTCTTAATCAGCTCAGCGACGAGTCGTTGTGCATGCGTCCAACCGCTGCCTGTGGACGAATGGTCAGGAGATGGCTGAAGGATCGACGGGAGAACAACGAAGAAATTCTTACACGTTAGGTAGGTATATGGCTCCCTGGTTGCCAGTCATCGATCAATCGTCGGTCAGAGTTGTCAGTGATCGTCGATCAGGTAGAAGGAGGAGATACCCGAATGATCTTGGACGAGTGCTCTGATACCATAAAGTAGAAACAATCTGAATCAAGGGATTTACTCCCCACTACTCAGTACATAAAGCTAGGCTAAAGCCTTATTACATAACTACCTTTAGGTTGTGAATTAGTGAATATAGGTTTAAAATAAAGCTAGTGCAATAAGGTAAATATATGTTTGAGGTGGAGCGGTTTGAGTTTTCCAATATGCACAAGCCCCTATATTTAATTATCTCTTTCGATAATGGAAGAGCACTTTTGATTAAGGCTGGTCATTAAGAAAAAAAATAATTGGACTTAACATATAAGAGCGCCAAATTTAGATTTTAAATCATAAAATTATTATTATCGGCTTAAAAGCGGATGTTAAGGGAAATGATGGTGAACCCAATCAAGATCTCATGATTGGGTTCACCATCATTTTTTCAGAATTTTAGTTAGAGAGAAGTTAATTGAATAAAAACATCCTTACTGGCTGAAGAATTATGCTAGCCAAATAGAGGAATAGTAAGATGAGAAGAGATCATAACTAGCATAAATGACTTTTAAAGTATAATTATCCAACTCCTAGTTAACGATCGTTGTTCTTTTTCCATTTGACCTCATGGCCAATGAACATCGCATGAAGCTCAATCCAAGTAGCATAACATGTACTGCAAATGGGGAAAAAAGCAACCATAATTCCATCACCAGTAAACCATCACAGGCAACCACACTCCCAAAACTCGCATGTAGACAACATCCCAAAGGAAATCCATAAAACAAATCGCACGAATAAAGCCCAGTAGAAAGCATCCAAATTTCATCGCGAGCGACCGAACGTGGGACTCGAGGGGGGTGTGAGTCCTGTGTTTAATGACAAATCCAGATACGGTTTCGTAAAATGCATTGGAGACCCACTAAACAACAAACGGATGGAGGGCGTTTTAAGCTGCCCCAATATGCATAATGAACAATCGTGACATACTTCACATCCTTTACGGCATGCTGAAACAGCACAGCTTTTATGACCTCAAGCGAGAATATGGAGTAGAGAATGGACGTTAAGCAACTTAAGGGCCGAACAATGTGTGAAAAATGGAACTAACGGAGGCCTTACAAATATAAAAAATACATAATATATTGCAATCAAAATCCACTAAATAAAATTTGAATAAAAAATATATGAGTTGCCATTAAGCTTATTATAAAACATTTAATATTTTCTGAAAAATATGAAATATTTAATAAGTTATTTCTTAAACACAACAAATAAGTTGTTTACAAATATAAATAATGAGTTATATTTGGGTTCAAAATTGATTCATTTAAAATTTGAACTTTTAAATATGTTCATTTGCTAACAAAACGAATATTAATTGAACTGAATTTAAACTGTTCATAGAGTGCATTCAAATATATATACATATATATATATATATATATATCAAATATTTATTTTTATTCTTATTTTTTTTCCAATGAGTTATTCAACTTGGCTTATTGAAGTTAATGTCACTTGTTATTTTTTCAACCATCTAAACTAAATTCTATGCAAGTATGTAGCATCAACTATAAAATTATGGAATGTATAACTCTTCCATATTCACTAAATAATGTTGTAAAAATGTTATTATAAATTTCATGATGAACCCAAAAAAAATTTTCATCATCCAAGAAAGTCTTAAGAAGTAATGTAAGAGCTTCTCAAAATGATGACATAATGCTAAAATCAGCAATTAGAAAATTTACATACATATATGCCACATAATTTGCATCTATTAACATATGTAACGCGTAAAGTTTGATATTTACCTTTATAAAATTTTTAGTGTCATAAATTAATGCATAAGAAGAAGTATTTCACGTTTAAAAATATAATAATAATGATATTTCTTACGTGATGTTAAAATTTTGGGTTATATAGACGTGAATAAGGGTGTTTAGGAGTTAGATAAATACACGAAAAAATGTATGATATATTTGCAAATGTTCCATTAATTAGTATTCTTATTTGTAAGACAACGATAAGCAATTGTCGTAATATACATGCCTTATCCTTTATTTTGATAAATTGTATATATATTTATTTTATTTTATAATATTATTGCCTTTTATATAGAATCTGTTAATTCCTTCTTGTTCAGAAAATTAGGGCGAAGAAAACATTAATCGACACAAATCCAGAAGAACACAGAGATTTAACGAGATTCGGCAAAGATGTCTACGTTCTCGGGAGCAGAGCAGAGAGTTTTTTTCAATATTCAGAAAAGAATTTATATCATAACACTTCTTAACAACATCTGCATAGATATGGAAGCCATTGTCATATATAGCTCCTAGCAAGCGCTTGAAAACTTTTTTTTGATAATCTATTGTTCTCGTAGAGTTTTGTCTTCAATGACGGACTTCTTGTTGCCGGAGAAGTTTACATTTGTTTAATAAAAAATTATGAATGCATGCAGTATAATTTAGGATAAATATATATTTCACAAAAGAAAAATATTATTTGGAAAAAAAAAGATAATTTGCAATGCAATTATAACTTAATTTTGGTCAAGATCAGCATTAATTATTAGCATCTGAAACATTGATTTCAGACCGACATATTCCCCAATTGAAAAAAATGGGGCCTTTAATAGAAAATTAAAATTAATATCAATCAACACGTAATTATTCATTTAAATTCTTGGCATATATAAAACATTGATTTTCACAAATTATATAGATTTTATTTATAATATTATTACCTTTTATAGAATCTGTTAATTCCTCCTTAACAAAATCTTCATAAATATGTGGAGCCATTGCCATATATAGCTCTTAGAAAGCCCCAAAAAACTTCATTTTAATAATCTATTGTTTTCAAAAAAAAATTCTGTCTTCAATGGTGAACTTCTTGTTGCAGGAGATGTTTTTGTTCGTTTCATTGTCTCTAGTTTTAACAGGTTTTCTTTTTCTTCTTCTTTTTTCACTTTTTAATGTGTTGAAAGTTCAGCAATTTGTGCAAAAATTACAAATATTCATCACCTGATTAAACATGTTCTGTTAATCCTCCTGTTTGCTAATTCAGCTCATCATTACATGCAGGTTATACAGCCGAATCTGTACCCTATGACTATTCGGCAAGCATTGAGGTCAGTTTTATATATATATAAATAAAATATATTATATGAAATTATAAATAAAAATAAGGTAAGTACGTGAGGCATATTTTGGCGATGAAATTTAATTTTCTGTGAGGTTTTGATTAGGGTTAGAGTTTGCCTCTGCATCCAAAGTATTATATGTGCATCTTCAGAATTTGCTGCAATTGCAGTAAGTTTTTTTTTTTTTTTTAAATGATGTAATTATGCAAAAAACAAACAAATTATGTAATTTCCAACATGCTCATATTAATTACGGTTAGTAAATGCAAAAAATTCCTCCTGCGTTTTAAAATGGAATTAAAATTAAATGAAAAGGGCTGTGATTAAAATTAAAGATGAATATAAAAAAGACATGTTCAAAACTGATGGGCTCATGGCAATATAAATATTCCACAGTGTTCTCTTTTTTTTTTTTCCTATTTTTGTTTATTATGGCAATTGTCTTGGGTCAAACTAAGTCAATTTAGAAAAGTAATCTGGAATCAACTTAAACAAAGCGTTTTTTAGGGTCAAAATTTTGTTTTTCTTATAAGTTCATGTCCATTATTGATTTCACTTGAGATCATTATGAAAGCTCTAAATTCCATTTTCTTCCCTAGTGTTTGGCTGAGCCTCTGGAGCCTCAATATGGAGGCGGCATCATTCTCAACCCAGACTTTGAGAGAGGAATTCAAGAATGGTCCTCCTTCGGCTATGGCCGTATAGCAGAAAGGACATCCAGTACTGGAAACAAGTACCTTGCTTTCACTCACAGCAGAAGCAGACCCTACCAGAGTGTTTCACAGAAGCTTCTTCTTCATAAGGATAACCTCTACACTTTCTCTGGTGACCTATCCCATTCAACCGGCCCACAAAATTTAAATTTTGAAACTTTTTGATAAGTTATATGTAGTTAAGCAGTCCCAGAGAGTGCAAAAACAGAAGCTGTCATCAACTTAACAGTTTTCTGCAACTTTTTGCAGCTTGGTTGCAGACTATTGAGGGATCTGTTGATGTTGTGGCTGTCTTCAAGACTGGGGGCAAGTTTATCCATGCAGGAGCAATTGAAGCCAAGTCTGGCTGCTGGTCCATGCTCAAAGGAGGTCTTTCTGTTGACGTCACTGGACCTGCTGAAGAACTATTTTTCGCAGTAAAAATCTCTGTTTTTTATAGAAAACTGTTTTTCTTTCTAATGCTTGAGATATGAAGAATGATGAGGATCTCTCCATATAATCACAGAGTAACAGCACTGCAATAGAGATATGGGTGGATAGTGTCTCCTTGCAGCCATTTACAGCAGAAGAATGGAGGTCTCATCAGACTCAAACCATAAAGCAGGTAAATTTGAATTCAAAAAAGTTATTTTTTAATCCAAAAACAGCACTAAAATGAACAATTAATGCTTGCAGTCTCGTATGAGGCTTGTGAAATTGAAAGCTGTTGACGCCAATGGAACCATCCTTCCAAATGCCACGATCTCCATCAAACAGAAAAGGCGAGGTTTCCCATTTGGCTGCGCCATCGCTCAACCCATTCTCACCAACACCGCGTACCAGAACTGGTTTACCTCTCGCTTCACTGTGACCACCTTCGAGAACGAAATGAAGTGGTACAGCAATGAGAAATCACAAGGGAAGGAGGACTACTATACTGCAGACGCCATGGTTGCGTTCGCGAAGCAGCACGGCATTGCCGTGCGAGGCCATAACATATTCTGGGATGATCCCAGGTATCAAATGGGATGGGTGACATCACTATCCTATGACCAGCTCAAGTACGCCGCCGCGAAGCGACTCAACTCCATCGTCTCCAGATATAGAGGTCAACTCATTGCTTGGGATGTTGTTAATGAGAACCTTCACTTCAACTTCTTTGAGCAGAGGCTGGGACAGGGCTTCTCAGGGGATGCCTTTATACATGCTAGACAGATTGATCAGGGGGCTCTCATGTTTTTGAATGACTTCAACACGTTGGAGCAGCCAGGTGATCCGGCATCGACGCCGGATAAGTATCTTCAGAAATTTTGGGAGATACAGAGCTACACTAAGAAGAATGTGAGGATGGCAATAGGGCTTGAAGCGCACTTCAGCCAACCAAATATCCCTTTCATGAGAGCTGCTCTTGATAAGCTTGCAGGAGCAAAAGCCCCCATCTGGCTCACCGAAGTGGACGTCTTCCAGATGCCCAACCAGGTACTATTTCAAACAATGTCAGTAAGAGAAACAAAGAGACTTTTTATGTCTAAAGAATTAAAAAAATTACTTTTTTTTTTTCAGGCACAATATCTGGAGGCAATCTTGAGAGAGGCTTTCTCACATCCGGCAGTTCAAGGGATTGTGATTTGGGCCGGATGGCATCCTGAGGGCTGCAATCGGATGTGTCTGACTGATAACAACTTCAGGAACTTGGCCACAGGAGATGTGGTTGACAAGCTGATGAAAGAGTGGAGATTTGACAATGTAGTGGGTACAACCGACAAAAATGGCATCTTTGAAGCTCAGCTCTTTCATGGGGAATATGACATCAGTGTGCTGAAGTCGTCGGGGGTTTCTTTAACAGTCAATCAGGAGGAAACAGTTTCTCACGGTGATGGCGATACACATGTGGTTATTGTATAAAGCGTTATACGCGGTGATTGATAATAAGTATTAAAGATGTGATTTTTTTATAAGCATCAGAGATACAGTACATTTTTGGAAAAGACAATAAGTGATACCGAAAATATTGTTTCACAATTGATGAAAAACTATTTTATTATATAATGACATGTTCCAAGATTACACTTTTTGTGCTTCTACTTAATTTCTTTAACTCATCTCCAACAAAATGATATATAACAAAATCTCTAATATTGTGAATGAGTTAGTAGAGGATCTTCTCTTCCATTGGGAGACTCTGATTCGAGGCACATATTAACACCTAATTACTAACCTAGTTGCCAGTAGAGTACAATTAGGCCCCCTTCAATATCTTGAGCCCAACTATGCTTAAAATAACTGTTTAAATGCAAGCATATTTTATCTTCATTAAGATCTTAAGACCAACTTTTATAGTAGAATACTAATTTAAAAATAAGTGCTTATCCAATGGTCTTTTCATAAATAGAGTGTGGACCTAGTATAAAATTTTGACTTAATTGATGTCATAGATTTTTTACATGTCTTACATTGTTGGTCAGAGCGTGGCTCAACGACGTGAACTTGTATATACGAGATCAAATGTAATTCACCAATGATATTTGGCATATCTTAAGTTATTAGTTTGAGCATTCCTCGATGATATTAACATTTGTGGAAAGGTTGAATATAATTTACTAAAGATTTTTTATCCATTTGAGGTTGTTAGTTGAAGTTTGGCTTAACAACGCTAAACTATAAGTAAATGTTGAGAGTAATCCGCAAAGAGATCGTTATCTGTCATAGGTTGTTGGTCAGAGCATGACTCAATGATGCTAACCTGTATGGAAGAGGTTAAGAATAATCTACCAAGAATTTTTTACCTAACCAATATTTTTTGTCAAGCGCGATTCGATGACTCTAGCCGCTGTGGAGGATGTCAAATCAAATTTCTCTCAAATTGAGGTGGTATTGGTAGGATTGTAAATGAACCAATGCACTCGATGAACTACTCGACCTCGACTCGATTAAGATTCAATCATGTTCGTTCAAAGTAGTAAATAAGCAAGCTTGAAAAATTATAAAAAACTCAAAACTTAAATGAACTAGACATGAACATAGTGGAACTTGTTCATTTATGTTCACAAACAAACTCATTTGTTGTTTAACAAGTAATTTACAAAATAGTCGATATATATTTAATGGTAATATATTATTATATCAATAGTACTTTTAGATTAATTATTAATTATAGATTTATTTTATTAATATATAATTATTAATTATATATTTATTTTATTAAAGTTTAGGTGTTAGATGTGAGAATACATGAGACTTTATGTGGTATGTATGAAATGCCCCTTAAAATTAATATTAAACCACCACAAATCTCACATTCCTACTGACCTCTCACAGTCTCGCCCAAAACATACAAAACCCTAAGTTATCACAGCATGCAAGCAACGAAGGCAAAGATAAGATCGCTGCGTGCAAGGATCTCTGACTTTAGTATCTGGTAAATCTCCCCTTTCCACTCTACTCCTAAGTCGTACTCGATTAACCCTAATATTTCTCAAGCTTTTTCGTGCCCCACTTCACGTGCTTCAACATTTTAAAATCCTATAAATCTTCATTTAAATTTCATTTACTATATCTGTTAAAATCCTATATGGTTTTTGTCATTTTTATTATTCAGACAATATCTAGGATTTAAGGCAAAATAGAGTAGAAACGGGATTTAAGATCGTTTAGGGCTTCATTTTGTCATTTTTTTATTGTGGGGCATAGGCTAAATTATGCATAATACAACTTTATTTATGCTATCAAACAACCCCAAACTGAGGAATTTAGGGCAAAAAAGAGAAGAAACTTGATTTAAGTTCGTGTCGGTTTTAAAATTCTCATTTTCAGCTATTTGGTAAGATTTAGGTTAAATCATGCTTAAATGCTACATAAATTATTCAACTAAATAGCCCTTAACTCAAGGATTTAGGGCAAAATGGAGGAAAAATAAGATGTAATAATGTTGGTTTAGAGTTTATAATCAATAAATTGGTAGCTATGATCAAATTTATAAAATTATTTATTAAAATTTTATAGGAAAATCTATATACTCAATTGGATTTTTAGCTCATTTAAATACTTTGTCATTTTACACGAACAAATCAAGTTCAAACATGAAAAAATTTAAACAAGTCAAGTTTGAGCAATATATGAAAGCTCGGCACAAACTCAAACCGAACATGAATAACTTATAATTATACCAAGCCAAGTCCAAACTACGATATACTCAGCTTGACTCTTCTCGACTACAGCCCTACACGTTGGTCGAGATGGACCATAATTTTTCTTGGAAATATATTTTAGCCACACTCAATCAAGGGAATTGACAACTTCCTTATTATTACTTTAGGTTTGTCACCCCTATTGAAGGTTTTATCCAAATGAGCCCAATTATTTTGTGTAAAGGGGCCCAAATATCTCTGTAAAATTTGTCTTTTAATTTTTTCCCATAAGTTAATTGCATGATTTGGTAGTATGACTTTAGTGGAAGTGATAGTGTAAGCTAATTTTGCGGTCAATAAAGGAGGTGGGTATGTGAAACTAGTAATATTGAGGATGTCAGCTTCTTAACTAGGTTGAGGAGGAACTCAAGTATGAGGAGGGGGTGTTCAAAGAATTTTCTCTGGTTGGGCATCTCCAATCGGTGGTTAATGTTGTGTAAGTAAGCTCCAAAAATTGACACTAGTTTTGATTGTTCGGCCTCAAGCAATAGTTGAAGAAACACATGGTTTTTCATGGGTAAAGAAGAGGTTCTTTTACAAGTAGATTAATGTCTATTAGACAAAATAGATGCAGAGGCCTGAAGTCCCAGCTTTGAAATCATCCCTAGAATGGCATGTTAGAGATGACGACTCCGCTATTAACAATGTTGCGCTTAAGAGTCATAAAAAGGTGGGAATGTAGTTCCTACAAACATCATGTGCTATAAAATTTATGATGATAGAGTAAAAAATTTAACATCTTAGAATTGCACTAAGATCCGCACATGCTCACAAAGCGGGGATGAGGCACCAAAATTGTTTACATGAAAAATCCTAGAAATGGAAAAAATCATGAGATTTAACTCAATCAAAGTAATCCACTTGAAAATTGGAAGTATTGGGGTTCACTCTTCTCCTTAATAAGAAAAGATTGGATTACAAAAACTGACGATCATAACTTTATAATAGTAGTTTGGCTCAGCGATTATAATTTAGCTACAGGAACTATAGTTGGTGGCTATAATGTTTATGGTTGTATCAATTGCTCGTGGTCGTCAATGGAGACCTTTGGTGGTCGACAACAAAGTCCGGTGTTCTTCTACAAACTTTAGTGGCCAGCGACAACCGTTGAGACTTCAAAAGTTAAGCTTTTGCAGTCAACTCACACTCTCTACTCCCCCTCTCCACTTCAAGTGAAGAATGATGATGATCTATTTATAATTTTTTAGATGAGCATTTTTATTTATTTTGCCAATATCCCAAAATGCTACAATCAGATTTTCCGCATTGATTTCATTAGTTATATAATTTTTTCAACATTTAAGTTTTTTGATGATATCAAAATAAAATGATCTTGGGCTTATTAGAATTTTTAAATGAGTGGGGCACAAATGATCGTGAATTTTAATTCAAAATATATATTGCTCAAAATGCTTCGAGATTTATGCCTATGACACATCAAATATAATTTTAAATTAATTAATTTTGTTATTAATTCATGTAAATGTCATGATTAACCCAGATAATTAAAAGCATTGGAAAATAAAGATCTTACCACATGTCAATAATTAATTCAAGAGATCAATCTTAGACAAGTTACGATACGCGAAAGTTTCACACACCGAGTCTTTTGTGAGAATGAACATGCATTTGTTCTCAACACTTAATGTATTAGAAACTACTATGAAGGATGATTTAAGCTTCGAGCAAAGAAGATATACGTGTCTATTCTTTGAATCAATTTAAGGATTTAAGTTTTCTTTTAACCTTCTTATAATCATTTTTTGAAATATCATAAGTATTATAAAAAGGGATCAAGAAATTATGAATTATGTCTTTATGTTAAGTGTCAACAATGAGATATATAGCAAATGAAAAACTTTTATTATTTTGATCAACATAAAATAACTAGTTCCTCTATAAGTTATAAACATATTATAGTTGGGCATTCTCATCATAGAGTGGAAGACTTGGTAGATTTATATCATTTTTGAGTTGAAATATTATATACACTCATTAATATATAATTTCAAGAGCTAAATAATCATTTTACAAAGAAAAATATGAAACCATTTTTCTAATTATTAGAAGTGTTGAAAGAGCTTTCTCTGCTATGATTTTTATAAAAATCAACTACAAAATATAATTGGATATGGGTGGATGAACGATATCTTAGTTACTTATCTTGGGTATCTTGGGAAATACATATTGAATGGGATAGATCATGATTTAATCATGCAACACTTTCATAATATGAAATTAATATGTTATATATATATATATACATTCGGCTAAAACCAAAAATTCAAAAAATTGGTCAAAGCTAGAACTAAATGGCCAATTAAAAATAAGTCGGGTCACCGATTTATCGGTTCATCCGAGTGCTCTTGAATTTGGATTGAGTTGGTCTGAACTCCAATTGAACCCAATTTGATTTTGTTACATATTGGTTCATATAAATATTGTGCTTCGCCCAAAACAATAATAAAATTATTTTTATCTTGTACACGTATTCTGATTTATTCGATGCAGTTAATTGTTGTGCATCCTCAGCATGGATTGATACCACATGAGACACAATGAATGATTAATCAACCCAAGTGCCTAAATAATTCTTGATTAATTATATTGGAGTATTTTAGTCTCAGAGTTCATAGAACCTACAAAATAATTCTCAAACTCATTAATTTGAAGCTAAAATAATCCACTTAAAAAATTATTAGAGCTCAATTTTAAAATAATCAGAGACTATTTTAATATTCTCATAAACTTTTAAGACTAAAAAGGCCCATTTTAAAATATAGGGGATTCTTTTGGCAATTTACTCATAAATAAGAAATTTCATATAGAGAAATTCTATGGATTTGAATAGTGCATAATACAAATAGGCAAACAATAGGTGAATATCATATTTTTATTATGTTTTTTTTTTTTTAGAAGGAATGGCCATATGTTATTATAAGAGCCTCCGATCATTCCTAATGTGTCTAATAATTTGAGTAATGTCACCTTAAAATCAAATATGTCAGAGCAAATTCATAGATTCGAACCCCCGACCCGAGTAGTCTTATACCAAGGATACCAAGCAATAGACTGAGGTACTCGGCACATAATTTTATCACATACAAAATAAAAAGACATTTAAATATATATCACTCAATTCTTATGCATCGACGTATCTCATATCTGAACTTTCAAATGTGTACATATAACAATCAAATTTTTAATATCAAGTCAAAAATATCAACAAAATCTTTTTTTAAAAGTGAAATCCAACATTTTTCGTGAATAAACTTAAGACACAAACGTGCTATATATATTTAAATATGAAGTTTAGGTGAGATATGTAAATACATAAAAATTGTGTGCCACATAATCAAATTTCTCTAATATAAGTTATTAGCAAATACTTATATAAGAGGTTGACAATTTTACTTCCTATACAACCACAACCTCAGAGACCACTCAGAGAAACAAAATTATTAATAATAACATTAACATCATATTTACATTTATAACACTCAAAATTTTAACATCATATTAAAAATAACACTTTTTTAAAAAAATACATATTTTGATGCATAAATTTAAGTGAAGCCAAAGAGCCTCTACCAGTTTCAAACACTTATCTCTGGAAAAATTAAGGCCATAAATGATAACATAGTACAGCCTCAATCTATCCACCTACAAAAACTCAGCCCTGTGAGAAATATTTACGTGCGGACACGGACACGCCGTGTGTGCGGACACGGACACGCCGTGTCCGCACGCCGCTCTCCGTGCGTAATCCTCTCTCATGACTTCTGCGAAGGTTATTGGAGAGTTATTGCAGAGTTATTTCGGCGTTATTTGAAGCCAATACCCTCCACGGTTACATTTTCATTTTCTGGGGTTACACTTTCACATTTTCTCTGGTGTTAGGGTATTTAGTCTAAATAATGCTGAAATAATTCCGCAATAACCGTACAATAACATTCGCAGAGGTTATTGAGAAGTTATTAAGAGAGAATTACGCACGGAGAGTTGCGTGTGTTCTCCGTAAGTAAATATCTCTCCGGCCCAGTGCCCCTCCATGAATTTATGCGTCACCCTACAATAAAACATAAGGATTTGGTATTCAGTAAGAATTTTAATATTTTCTAGAAGCTAGAATTACAAACATACCGCTCAATTCGGATGTATTTACAAATCTAACTCCTAAACTTCAAATTCTTTACATATACACCATCTTGCATATGCATTGGAAGGTATACTCACTTTTTAAAACTCAAAACGGTGCTATTTTTGATGTGATATGAAACATTTGGGAGATATAAATTTAAAAACTAAAATTATTAGTTATTAGATATGTAAATACATAGGAATTGGTTGAAATGATCAGAAATTCTACCAACATTAACAGCAGAAAACTAACCTTCATTTCCCTTGCAACAGAAGGCAGCCATTTCTCTCCTCTAATTCTCTTCAGTTCTGCAACTCTTTCTTCCTCACGTTCGGCTGCTGCCATTGCTGCAGCCTCTCTAGCTTCCCATCTAACCAATGACCTCTGGGAAGCTTCTCCGGCCGCAGCCACTATATCGGAACCATCAACGACGACAGATGCGATACGGCGACGAAACTGAAATCACTAATGTAGCAATCAATAATGAAATAAGCGAGAAGATCAAAATTAAGAGATTTTGAGGGCGTAAACATTCTTACAATCTTTGAGTTTTCTTTGATCTCATCTCCTGGAATAATCTTTAGTTTCTTCTGGGGTGCTGTATCATGATCTGAGAACATTCATCAACCACTCAATTCTTATGTATTTACATATTGAACAACTAAATTTCATATTTTACATTTATATCATCCAAACCTTTCATATCATCTCAGAAATATCACCATGTTAACTTATAAAAAGGGAAACACACCTCTTAAATGCATAGGTAAGGTGGTACGTATGTAAAGATTGAAGTTTAGGTGTTGTCAGATATGTAACTACAAAGGAATATGTAAATCTTCTTTAAGGTAAAAGCACATACCAATAGAATCTTGTCTCATTCCAGGAGGGGCTTTTCTGAATAATCGGATGACTCCTCCGTCTGATTGATAATTAGATTCAGCAGTTCGAACCATCTCAATGTTCTTCTCCAACATACCATCTAAAAGCTTTTGTGCCTGCAATTATAATCACTTGCAATGCAAAAATATAAGATTTCGATGCAGCTGCCTAAATTGGAATATTTGTGCTGGTTTGGTGTGCTTCATCTCGTGATAATCGAATTACTGTTGCTTCTAGTATATTTCAGTTTGGTTCTATTTGTTTATAAATTATATATAGGGTTAGTTTCATAAAAGTTATTAGACTTGAGTCCATCTGGTTAGTTGGCATTCTGCTGTTTTTCTAGCTTTTACACAGCAGAGACCATCGACGGGAAACACAACACCAATACAGGGAATCATAACGGGAGAAGTGCATATCAGTTTGTTCCACCGGATAGAGTTGAATGGCTTGGATAAGATAAAGATTGAACGCGTCTTCGGCACACACATTTCTCAGATTCTAATTTAGATGAAGATACACTGCTCGATGAAATGCCCAATCAAGTTCTTCCAAAATTCAAACGAATTTACCATGACTATAAGGTGAAATTTCATATTCCTAATTTTGACGGACACTTAAATGTTGAGGACTATTTGGATTGGGAACCAGTTGTCGAAACATTCTTTAAATGTAAGGACATCGCCGAAAAATAGTTTGAATATGTTGCTTATATGTTAAAAGGTGTAGCAGGAGCATAGCGGGAGCAACTCCTCCGTCATGCGGCCGAGAAAGACTGATTAGAACTTGGATGAGTATGATGTAACCGTTTTGTTCTTAATGGAAGAGAAACGAAGAGACGAGAATATTGTGAAACTGAAGAAGGGGAATTAAGGAATTGTGAAACCAAATGAGAAAAGGACAGGAAATGAATTGATCATGGTGGAAGAAGAAGTGATCGAAGATCAAGAAGTTGGAGGGGTAAATTTGCCTATAAAGTCGCAGACCAACTTAGCTGGAGCCATGGGGCGAAAATGAAGTGAAAATTAGGGCAGAAACGGCGTATTTGTCATGCGGGAGGAGAAGGCTGTTTTGGTGACGAGCATAAGGGAATAAAAAGGTGTAGCTTCTTTGTTGTGCTTCGCGAAGAAGAATCAAGCCAAGTTGAGGAAGAAACTTCGTGCACGAAGAAGAAAGTGAAGGCAATCACATGAGGGAGGTGTCGGAACAAAAGGAGAAGGGAAGATTCGTGCGGGAGCTAGGTCGAGCCTCTTGCGTAGAAAGAAGATCGTCGCATACAGAGAAGGAGGCTCGGCTTCATGCGAGGGATTAAAAGCCCCTTTGGGACAACAGTCGAACTACATCGCGGCAGCGGGCCGCGATATTTTGTTGTTTGATTTAGCGTCCTGCTCACAGCGGGATGCGAATTTGGTGGAACGCGGGCCACGAATCAAACTCTACGGCCCGTGTTCGAGGATAAGATGTTTGTAGCGCTCGTCCATAATACCCCTCCCGGCCCTGCCCCAACCAAAATTCTTATTCTCGACGCCGAAGCTCTCACGGTCCACTTCCTCCCCACTTTTGTGTGTGTTTGATTCCTTCGCTCGACTCCGGTTTTGCGCTCCTCCCTCCCTGTTGACTCAGGTATCCTCTCCCCCCTCCCTGTCGCATGATCAGAAAATTTTTCTTTCTAATAAATATATATTCTATCATGAAAATATGGCTTTTAAGTTCCACTATAACAGACACTGTGATTATTTCTAGATCATAATCTTTTGTACTAACTTTTCAAGAATCATGAATCATTTTGCCAATATGTTTTTAAAAGTCATATAAAGGGGAAACCATTAAGCAGTATTCATTAATCTATATCTCTCATTTTCTTTTCCTTCGTACGAGAGGAATTTTTTATCCCACAAAACCACAGGATTACTAATATTATAATTCTATTACAGCATATCAACCACATTCTTCACAAGCAGAACCAATTTCAGTGATTAGAGTAAGCTTTGAAAAAAAGATTATATTATTATGATAGGAATTTCACACATAATGAATTGTTATAAATTATTTAAATCATTTCAACTTAAGGATTTGCAGTAAAGTAAGCATTAAACTAAGCTAATTTGATTGTGATGAAAGGTAATGTTGATGGTGGTTTCCTGTCAAAAAGTTTGATGGTGTCATTCTTTATCTTTCTGTTGAACTAAAAATATACTGAGTTTCAATTTTTACTCCAGACCTTCTAAAGGTATCCAATAGCTTTCAGTAACTACGGCATTCTTTTTTTTTTTTTTTGCATCTATTACAAATAACAAACATGTTTAGTAACTATGGCAATTTTTTTTTTTTTTTTGCATCTATTATAAATGACAAACATATTTATTGACCAGAGGAATATGGAGGTCTTGGTCTTAGTGTCGCATATAGGTAAGCTCTAAGAAATGATTTAAGAGAAGCTTTCTTTTCTTAAGCCTCTTTACATAGAGAAAATTATTTGACAAGGATATCATTCTTCGTTTGGCTGAGGTTTGGGAACCCATAATACATGAGATTTGGATGTTGTGATGCTTATCATGTGAGCTTTTGATTTATATCGAACAATATTTGTTTCTTTCATTATTACTGTTACATAATCTTTGATGATCCCATAGTTCCTGGAGGTTTGGGCATGGGTTCTTCTTTCTATCCTGCATGTTCATCTTCTGGACACTAGATCGTTTGGGCATTGTTTTCTTCTGTGGTTTAACGGCTCTCCGTTTGAGATTAAGCGTTGAATCTAACATATATAAGAGATAATTTTTTTTATTTTTATATTACAACAGTTATTGTCACAAAAGGTGCAAGAATACCTATTTTAAAATATGCAATTTCATTCTAGCATAGCAGGTTGCAGTGTAATTGTGTTATTTCACTAGTATTATGTGTTTTAAAAATAATATCATTATTATTTTACTTGTAATTTTGATTCATTCTTTCTTTTTCTTTAGCACTTTCGATACTCGTTGTTAAGTGAGTTACTGAACTTTTGTTTTATTTTGAAATGAATTTCTGTTTTTAAAGTATCAAATATGTGGTTGTCACAGTTCTATTTTATTAAATATGGACAGAATGATCATTTTTCCAGAAACAGTTGCTCCCAGCTGTTTTCACGCAGTTGCAACAAACAGACAATCAGCTTCTCCGCAGCAGCTGTAGCTGAAAAGCTGAGAAGCTGCAGCTGCCCTAAACGGACCATAAGAAGAGCAACTCTGCTGGTTAAATCAAGTTGACTGCAGAAAGGAAGAAGGAAGGCGACTCCTTGCATTCTACAAAAGATTCTACTAGCACCGAACCAAATTATCACTTCTCAAGGACATGCTGCATTCGGGACACGATGTACCAATGAAGGAAAAGTATGCAACCTGACTATTGATAGTTGTTGTACCAAAAATGTTATATCTAAGACAGTGGTGAATAGTCTTCAACTTAAAACCACAGAACATCAAATCCATACAGGATTAGTTGGGTAACAAAAGAAGTGCACGTTGTAGTGCTGAGTTACGCACTGCCACCTTTTCCATTGGAAAGACTATTTTTCTGTGAAGTCATCTGTGATACCATAGAAATAAATGTGTTGCCTAATTTTGGGCAAACTATGGCAGTTTGATATGGGGGAATGATATGATGGTGGAGCCAATGCTTAAACGTTGGAATTTAGGATAAGAAGTTGAGCTTTGCTGCCAACTGCAGCAACAACGGCCCCTAATAATTGTTGGGAGAGGTGTAATGCTATGCCTGTGAGTTCTCTTCTTCTACACATTTCCAAGGAACTGTAAATCAATGGTTCCACAGTGGTTTCTATTCAGATCTTATGGTTGAAGGTTCAGTCGTCTAATTATCAGTATCACTTCTGATTCAACGTTAAATTTTTTTTGCTGTTGGATGACAACCAGCTTTGGTAAATCTTAAAAATCCAGACCAATTAAATCTAACCAACAACGGAATTTAGTAAATACTGGATTTAAGGTAAAACTGATAAGTAATTGAGAAGGAATTAGATATTAAAAGTTTTTTTTTTTTCATCTGACGATATCTAACTTAAATACTTTATCATACATAAATAAAAAGGCGGTTTGAGGGGTGAATGAAAACCTGCAATACTTGGTATGATTTTCATCCATTCCTCCTTTCCTTTCACTCAAATTCCGCTCATCCTAACAGAAACTATATTGAAGATGAGCAGCTTTTTATAATGCTAACCTCACAAAAAACCATGCCCCAATACTCCTTTCCTACAAACCCTAAAAAGGACAAAACTGCCATCATGTCCCGAAAAAAATAGTGATTCAGCTCCATTAAAGTGAAGGAGCGCACCTTAATCTGATACAGCTTGATGCAGGGGGCATTCGTTTTCTTCTCATCGTCGTGGTTTGAGTAACCGTTGCCTAACGTGCCGCCGTTGTTGCCAGAGATCGAATGGAATTCGGCGAGACCGTTGGAGGAAGAAAAGTCGAGCGCGGCAACGGAATCAATCGCCGCTTTCCACTCGGCGTCGCCATCTTCCTCTCCGCTGCTGCAGTCTGTGCCGCTGGCGATTCCCATCTTAAACTCCGAGGTTCTCACCTCTGACCCTTATCCGGGCGGAAAAAATTTGCGTATGTTAGTCTGCGTGAGTCAAGGTTACAGAGGTATTGGCTTTGATCCACGTTATACGCTCTCTCTCTCTCTTAGATCCATCTTATACTCTCTCTCTTCCTCTAACATACATGTATCGTTTAGTAAATTTCAATATATTTTTATATATTTGTAGGTTTTGAAAAGTTTAGAGAGGTTATAATGCAGATATAACCCCTCTAAATTATTGCGTGCAGACACCGCTGCATCTCTGCATGCGGTGTCCGATCCTGGCCGTAGATCACGGTGATCTACGGCCAGGATTATTTCTGTTTTTTTTATAAAAAAAAAATTTAGGTGGGGCCCATCGAAATACAACGGGACCGTAGATCAGGTGATGTACGGTCCGGATCGAGCACCGCACGCAAGCTGCGTGCGGTGCCCGATCCGTATGGAATAATTTTTCCTCCTAATGGCCCCGACTACGGGCTTGAATTTCTATATTTAAGCGTGTAACACTCAATTCTTTAATATCATATCAAAAATAAATACTATTATTATTATTTTAAAAAAATAAGTATACACCTTTCGTGCATAAATTTAAATCGCCAAAATATAAAATTTTATGTGTGAGATATGTATATACATAAAAATCTCTTGGTATGTATTTAAATTTTCCTATGTTAAATTGCATTAACATTATTTTATAATTTTCAAATTTATTTTTACATTGGTGTAATGAATAATTAATATATATATATATATGTATATATATATATATATATAATAACATTTAAATATAGATAAGATGTTGGCTCGTAGCGAAATTTACAAACATAGCACAAAATTCTTATGTATATGCATATCTCACTCCTAAATTTTCGTATTTACATACATTCTATTTTTATATTTTAAACTTATACATGCAACTCTGTATTTCACTTTTTAAAAAATGATAATAATGTTAAAAAATTAAATACTACATGGATAAATATTAAAGTTTAGGTGTGAGATATATAAATATAAAAGAATTGAATTATGTGTTATGTATGTAAACACCTTTTAAAATAGCATATTAAGTATTTGCTTAATAAAATCAGAGTTCCTGCAGAACATTTTACCAACTTCTTAACATCTTATCGGTCACTCTTGGAATTGGAGCTCTTCTCCATCAATATGGTTAAAGCAACAACCACCATTGTGGAAGCAAACATCATAGGTGATGTTGTTGCTTCACAATAGCTTCCCATATTTATTTCCAACTCATCGAGCCTCGGCTTGACTTTAGTGAGGTTGTCGCCAACCCTATATTTCACAACTTGGTGCATGGTTACAACTTAGATTTGGTGCAATCACTGGGGGGATGAATGTTGTTTCCAATGTATTTAGGAGGCAGACATGCCAATCCTTTATAGTTTTTAACTTTGGAGGCCCCTTTGACACATCATTTATATATTTTTAGTATAAGAGAAGATTTTATTTTTATCAAGATTGTTAATGTCACGAGTGATACAACTAATGCTACCACTGATATAATTGTTGTTTTGGTTATATCAACAAAGCACAGATTCTTAGATGCAATATCAGCGAAAGAAATATTAGAAGTAATCAGTACAAACTTTGTGAAGCTGTGAAAAAAAGTTTTACATTTTAAAAAAAATTTCTTGGTTGTCTTTAAACCACATAATACCGAGCTCGTTTTTGTCACATATGCATATCAAAAAAAAAAAAACATCTAAATGAGCCTCAAAAGTCATAGCACTGAAAAAGAAGAATATGGTTTCTTTCATTAATATTTCACATTTGACAATAACCAATAATGACATATAGACATTCAAAATAAGTCATAAGGTCGAATGTCTCATCATTGACCTCCAGAAAAAAAAAAAAAAACATTGAATAAATATTTATTTTACATATTATGTCCATAATTGCCTCATCAGTCATCCAAACTGGATTTGATTACATGCAAAAGAACGATAAATAAAATTTAGATCCAAAACATAAATGATTGGATAAAACATTGATACAACAAATAATTAAATTTTTTACCTCCCAATGCAAATGAAGTAACAAAAAAAACAAATACAATCAGTCAATTCAGCAGCTAGTGATGGAGTTTGTACTCCCCTCTCTCGGCTCTATCATTTACCCAACACCCTCTCCATTCTAGGTGCAACTCTCAAATAATTCATCTTCCGTCTGTGATAAGGATTGTCTTATGTGATATTCAAATAGTTCAGTTGGGACGTGTGAATGTTCTTCGTCAGCTCAGCCGAGGTCAATGACACTACGCAAAATGATGTTGTCGAATATAATTTTGGAGAGTTATTGTGGTCACCACAATCTGCACTTGCTTATGAAACAAATATGTCTACATATCCCATAGTATGACAATTTTTTTCCTTCATATTCCAAATACTCTTTTAATGACATCGCGTAAGGTTGAGTGTCTCATCTTAAACATTTCTTTCTTGGCTCTATCAACATTATTGGATCTTTCAAAATCTGGAATTTGATATTTCATATTCTGAAATAGCTTTAAAAACCCTCTCTGTAAGGGATATCTGACATAGATTAAATAGTATTTATCAAACACAAATACAAGAATTACTATTGCAATAAAAAACATCTAATTATGGTTTATGTGGAGCAAACCTAGGGGATGGGTGAGGAAAGTTGTACTTTTGATTTCTCGTGTTAATTTTGATTATATGTCTGTTTTATGCACTGTATTCTCAATCAGTCTTAGTAGAAGTAAAGCACGTGTTGAAGTTACATACAACATTTACATTTTGTGTTGGTGATTCACATCGTCCAATGAATACAATATTTTCAGTATTCGATACACGTGCATTCACGCTTGTTCCATCGATCACTCAAATATAATTCTAAGAAATTTAACAAGGGCATGTAAATCATTGTGTTTATTTTACTACTTAAATTAATGAATTAAAAGAATTGCCTTAAAATATGGCATACACCACTAGTCATGTATAATCTCGATGAGAGTCATTTCAAATGTTGGGCCATCTGACTTGATAAAATGTGATGATAAACTGACTAGAGTTTTCAACCCAACTGAAAATTATCTATTGAGTGTTTTCGATGAGTGCACAATTGTTTCATGACTTCTCTAATAGACTCATTATGTGATAAAATGTAGAGGGTTATTGCTAACAACTCTCTGAAATTATGTTGGATGAGTCATGAAGTGCATGATTCGTGTGTAGTTCCTCTAAGTGATCCATGAATATAGACTATGTCATATGAAACATATTATTGAATATTGTTGAGTGTCCCACAAACAACTCGCCAATCCACTTTTTGTCATTATTTTAAAATGTAATGCAAGGATAACGAGCTTTACATGAGTTATAATACTCGTAAATCAAGCACGTCACAACTGCAGTTCTTCTTTTGCGCCTTTCTCCTACTTGCATCCATGTTAATCAATGTTTATACAACTACTAAATATAAGAATCACCAAAATAGCAAGTATCAAAACATCTTCTAAACAAACAATATTCATAAACAAGCTTGGAGTAGTAAATAATAAATGTACGATGAAAAACAAATTTCCAAAGAAGCGTTGACAGTGTATCAATAAATTCTCAAGTATATAATTTATCGAGCTTTAAAAAAAAAAAGTTTAAGTACCCATGTTATCATTAAGATACCACAAATAATGGATTATAGGGTCTGGGGCCATCTGTCATATAAAACTCTCTCTAAGTCGGGTCTTTAAACAACTTTATAGAAAACAAATATAACGACGTGTCCTCGTAAATCTCTGAAGTTCCCTTCAAAATTCAAATAACTTGTTGAATAGAAGTTGCTTATGATGTGCTTGGATCAACTGTGAAATTTGGCTCCTAATAAAAACAACACCTTCATTTTTCTTTCTCGACTCTTGATTATTTTGATCGACAAGTGAATTCAACTTCATTTAGGTTTGGGCTATGGCTTCATCAGAGTCCATTGTTTTTTCGACATCAATGGGATCAACCATGCCACCAAACCATCAGTCACTAAGAGTCTATGCATAATTGCCCATTGTCAGGATTTCACCAAACATACGATCCTACTTCTCTTCTAGCTCAGGCTAGATGCCACTAATTTTTTCTTACAGTTGGTACCACCTGCAAATTAACAAGAAAATGATATGTTGGTGTTTATGAGAAAATGGAAAATTGATTGAAAGACTGGATGTTTCATAAATTCTAACTTCTAGTCTCTCTGCGTTATTTACTTTATCGAATCCCAAACCAGTCCCCTCGCTTCAATTCTTTTCAAAATTTATTTATTTTTTCAATTGATCCTATTTGTTTTTCAATTGCATCATAACATATTCCCTTTTTGTACTTTTTTTTTAATTTATTATATTATTTTTCCAGCCCTTCCTATTAAAATACGTTGTTGGTCTATTTCTCAAGTCAATCTCTTTTAGGCAGTGTTCAAAAAATATTATTTTGATATCTTTATCTAACACAGCAAGACAATCGATTCCTTTGGTCTTAACCACAACATCACTAGCATGAAAAGAAATAATCATCATAAATATTTGGCATAGTAAATATAAAGTGGCATTTAAGATTCCACGACTCAAAGGAAATAAGCCCCGCCAATGAAAAAAAAAATATTAAGTAGCTCCACACCACCCTACTATCATTACCAACATCACGACACATACAACCAACACGACACCATCACCACTACCAGCTTCAGACCAACACAAAACCACCAACACAACACCACTAACAAACATAGAGCCAACATAACACCATTACCAACACACCACTGCTATCACCACACCATCACCGACACCACCACCATCACCAACCACAACCACCAACACAACACCACAAACGCCACCACATCATAACTACCACCACACCACCACACCACCATTACCACCACACCACCACACCACCACACCACCCACCTACCTATCATAATTAACATCACCACACACACAACCAACATGACACCACCACCACCACCACCACACCACTACCAACATAACACCACCGACACACGAACACCAACACACATAGAACAAACACACCACCATCATAACGCGAAAACCACCACCACCATCACCAACACAAAAGCACCAATATGACATCACCAATACACAACCACCAACACCACACCACCACTATCATCACCATCATAAGTACCACATCATCACAACGACCATCATCATAACCAACACCACAAAGAGCAAAGAGCCACATGAATCTCAATAAATTTCAAATTTCACATAAGAAGGATATGCAATGTGGTCATTTCCACTCCCTCCTTTCAATTATTCCATTGTGTGAAGCCCTAACCGCAAAACAACATGCCGACAACTGCATTGAACAAAATACGACGAGGAGGAAAGAGGTAAAACCACAAAAACTTGTACATTAAAGCACAAATTTTATCTCAAATGCAATATGATATTTTTCCCATCAATTTCTTTCTCAAATTCTTTCATCATTTTTTCCATAAAGTCATAAAGTCAAGTCACAAAAGGAAATTAATACTCAAAACTATAAACCATAAAAACTAGCACAGATGAAAATCACAAAGATAAGTAATTAAAAGAGTTGTAAAAATCAAGCTATCACAGATAAGGCTAAAAATCATAGATCTAAATTCTTAACATCAACCACAAACCTCGCAAGAGGAGGTAAGATAAGGGGGAAAGAGATGGGCAAGAAGATACCAGAGGACGACAAAGAAGAGGGAGTCAAAACCAAAGAGAAGGGAGGAGAGTGCCATTAGAGACTGTCGGACGGAGTTAGGAGGGAGAGGAGAAGGGATTTAGGGCATGGATATGCGAAAAGCACAACATCGAAGAAAAAGAAAGGCACACGATAAAATCGAGGTTGTATGAAGAAAATCAAGATCACGTGAAGAATATAAAGCAAACAAAACTCGACCATGCGAATCCATGACCTGCAATTACATCAAATTTTCCCAAAAAACAGCTACACCACCCTTTCCAACACAAAGTGTTTTTGCCTTATGGGGCTGCAGCACAGCCAAAAAAACATCTCCAAACGCACTCTTCCACTTACCATTTATGGCTTTACTATTAGGATAGCGTCCCTAAGAACTCCTCTTTCCC